AGGTAAGTAGATGGAGGGTGGGAACATCCCAGACCTAGGACATTTGAGGGGCTGAAAGAGGATCTGTGGCCGGACTGGCCACCCAGATGTCTGGGTAGGTGAAGGAGTGGGGGTTGGGAGGTGTTCTGTGCCAGGAACAGCCCACTCTATGGGAAATAGGGCAACATGCCCAGGCCCATGTCCTGATCCTGCCATCCTTCCCGTCCCTCAGAAGTGGATGCACCCCCAAGTGACACCTACTGATGACTCAAACCCCTGGTGGGCAGCTTTTAGCCGGGTCTGCAAGGACATGTGAGCACACTGGCCAGCTCTCCTCATAGCCCAGCCCCCTGCTCCTCTCCTTCCTGCTGCCCCCTCTCTTCTCCTGCCTCTCTCCCACCTTCCCTTGCCCCTTCAATTCTTCCCTTTCTCCCTCTCCATTCATCAGGCTCTTTCTCCTATAGGAACCTCTCTCTGGAGCCTGAGATCACGCCTGCTGCCACTGACAGCCGCTTTATCCGTGCGGTGAGCCACTTGCATGGAGTGCCTGGGCAGTGGACTGGGCCTGAGGCTGCCTTTCCCTTAATGGCTCCTCCTCGCCCCTGCAGGTGGGGGTCCCAGCTCTAGGCTTCTCACCCTTGAACCGCACACCTGTGCTACTGCACGACCACGATGAACGGCTGCATGAGGCTGTGTTCCTCCGTGGGGTGGACATATATACACACCTGCTGCCTGCCCTTGCCAGTGTGCCTGCCCTGCCCAGTGAGAGCTGAGCCCTGGAACTCCTCAACCTTTGCCCCTGGGGCTTCCATCCCAACCAGTGCCAAGGACCTCCTCTTCCCCCTTCCAAATAATAAAGTCTACGGACAGGGCTGTCTCTGAATTACTAACAGCAAGGCACTCGTGGAGCAAGAATTTTCCTTTCCTTGGGGACATGTTACCATCTCCATTTCACAGATGAGGAAACTGAGCCTGGCTGTGAGCACTTCCCCACTACCCCACACTGCTCTGTGCGCCTTGATACAGCACACCCATTCAGTACCATCCAGCCATGTCTGTGCCTAGCAAGAAAGGGCCACAGTTCCTATTTCAGTGGCCACCATACTTAGTTCTGACCTGTCAGAGATTCCATTCCAATCGAAGGGGGATACTAAGGACCTCAGGAACCAGTCCCATCTTCCTGGGTGTACATCTGGGATCCTAAGACAGGACCAGAATAGTACCAGCTGGGCCCCTGCCAGATGAGGGGCAGGCAGAGGGCCAACGGTGACTGCTGCCTCTTGTCAAAACCTGTACACCGTTGGATTGGCAGCAGGGGCC